TAAATAGGGCACCAAAGTTCCTACATATGTTTCGATTGGCACGAAATTTTGCATAAAGTATTGAATTAGGTCTAGTATGACGTGTGCCAAGTTTGGAGAAAATCCGGTGAGATTTATATATAGCTACCCATTTATATTTTCGTCCGATTTAAGGTAAATGGTGCACCAAAGTCCCTATATATCATTCGATTTGCACGAAATTTCGCACTGCGTATTGAATTAGGTCTAGAATGGTGTGTGCTATGTTTCATGAAAATCGGTTCAGATTTAGATATAGCTCCCATATATATTTTCGTCCGATTTAAGGTAAATGGTGCATTGAAGTCGCTATATATCTTTCGATTTTCACGAAATTTTGCATAGTGTACTGAACTGAGTCTAGAATGATGTGTGCAAGTTTCGAGAAGATCGGTTCAGATTTATATATAGCTTCCATATATATTTTCGTCCGATTTAAGGTAAATAGGGCACCAAACTTCATATATATCTTTCGATTGGCACGAAATTTTGCATAGTGTACTGAATTGAGTCTAGAATGATGTGTAGCAAGTTTTGAGAAAATCGGTTCAAATTTATATATAGTTCCCACATATATTTTCTTTCGATCTAAAGTAAATGGGGCACCAAAGTTCCTATATATCTTTCGATTGGCACGAAATTTGGCATAGAGTAATGAATTAAGTCTAGAATGATGTGTGCCAAGTTTCGAGAAAATCGGTTCAGATTTATATATAGCTCCCATATATATTTTCGTTCGATTTAATGTAAATGGTGCACCAAAGTCCCTATATATCATTCGATTTGCACGAAATTTCGCCAGGTGTATTGAATTAAGTCTAGAATGATGTGTGTTAAGTTTCCTAAAAATCGGTTAAGATTTAGGTATAGCTTCTATATCTGACCAAATGAAAAAAATAGTATCGGTTGCAGAATGATCCAATTTCATTTTACTGGTCCTTAAAAAATGCGACGTCTGTTTGGATTCATCTGTTGAATATACCCAAAAACCAATTTTGAAAAACTTCTGGTATCAAATAGTAGCAGTGAGGTGGATACCCCAGAACCAAGATGACGGTATAGAGTGTCTATCACCTAGCAAAGATGAAGTCAGAATAGCAATCAATCGGCTGAAGAATAATAAAGCAGCTGGTGCCGATGGGTTACAAGCCGAACTATTCAAGAATGGGGGTCAGACGCTGGTAAGCATGCCCAATGATTGGAGCCTCAGCATCCTGTGTTCCATGCACAAAAAAGGAGACAAGACGATATGTGCCAACTATAGGGGAAATAGCCTTCTTCCCATCGCATATAAAGTGCTATCCAGCGTACTGTGTAAACGACTGAAGCCAATGGTCAATGACATTACAGGACCATACCAATGCGGCTTCAGACCTGGCAAATCCACCATTGACCAGATTTTCACTCTGCGCCAAATCCTGGAAAAATCCCACAAAAAACACATCGACACATTCCACCTATTCGTCGACTATAAAGCCGCATTCGACAGTCCTATCCGTTCAGAGGTGTATAAAGCCATGTCTGCGTTTGGCATTCCTGCAAAATTAATTCGGCTATGCAGGATAACTTTAAGTGGAACAATATCAGCAGTTAACGTCGGAAAGGACCTCTCGGAGCCCTTTAATACCGAACGAGGATTCAGACAAGGTGACTGTTTGTCGTGTGACCTTTTTAACATCCTGCTGGAAATGATCATATGGGAGGCAAAGGTGAATAGAAATGACACTCTTTACACCAAACAACAAATGTTACTCGCCTACGCCGATGACATCGACATAATAGGTCGAACACTGAGAGCGGTAACAGCCACCTTTGAAAAAATTGAGAAGGAGTCTGCCAAAGTGGGTCTGGCAGTAAACGGCGAGAAGACCAAGCTGATAGTATCGACGCGCAAGACGTCCAGTGGACTCGGACCAACTGTGGAACTTGAGAACTACAGCTTCGAGGTAGTCAAAGATTTTATATACCTTGGTACCGCCATAAATAAAACGAATGACATCAGTTTTGAAATTCGGAGAAGGATAGTGATGGTCAACCGGTGCTACTATGGTCTGAGCAAACAACTCAAAAGCAAGGCCACCTCCCGCCAGACCAAACTCACACTTTACAAGACGGTGGAACTACCGGTGCTGTTATATGGATCTGAGCATGGGTACTTGCGCAAGCAGAGAGGGAAAAATTCTCCGAATGATCTATGGGACGATCTGCGTTGACGGTGAATATCGCCGTCGAATGAACCATGAGTTGTACCAGCTATTCTCGGACATCGACATTGTTAGACGTATTGAGCTGCAGCGACTACGTTGGCTAGGTCATGTTGTGAGAATGCATGAAGATACCCCAGCCCAGAAGACAGAAGGGGAAGGCAAAGAATACGTTGGAAAGATCAAGCGAAGACAACATCGCCGAAAATGGTCTTTCAAATTTGAAAAACTGCTCAAAAGTTCGACGCGCCTGGAAATCTTTTCTAAGCTCGGCTTACGGAACGACAGTTCTGTCACAAGCCAGCTAAGTAAGTGAAGGGTATCATATAGTCGGCCCTGTCCGACTTTACTAATGTCCTTACTGGTTTAAATAATTTTTTCAGGGACTTCTATAAGGCGTGGATTTTTTAAATAATTTTTTCGTGTTTTAAGGGTCTATTATAAGACGTGGATTTTATAAAGATATTTCTTCGAGGGTCCCAGACAGGCGTAATTTTTTTTTTGAAAACTATTTTAAAGACCTTAACTATTTATCACTTCCCATAAGCTTGTGTGATACACTTAAAAACAAAAACAATTGACTTGACAAATACACAAAACGACCATAAAAAATATTAAAATTTTTTTTTATTTATTTTTGTTGTTTTTAATCTTTCATCTACAACTACGTTGTGTACAATTACTTACCCGATATGGATGGTCGGGGTGTATGTATGTAAATACAATTTATTTGTTTACAAATAAAAATTGTATTTTGAGTGAATCATCATCAGCCGCATGTCATCATTTAACAAAACGGCTTTATAAATGGCATAAACAACCGGCTGAGTGTGTAAAAGAGAGAGAAAGAGAGGGGAGAGCCTGGTGGTCTTTATAGTATTAAACGCTAATTAATCTGTGATAAATATTAATTAGTTAGCTTATAAATAACTTATAGAACTAAATTGATGGAAAGCGGCTTTATTTACATAAAGTCAGCATAGGTGAATGTGATTTTTTTAGAAGATAATATGCAATTCAACTCAGCTGAATAGGGGTTTCAATAAGAAATCTTCAATTCAGCCTGGTTGAATGAGGTTTCCATTAGAAAATCTTCAAATCAGCTTAGCTGAATAAGGTTTCTGGTTGGAAATATTTAATTCAGTCTGCCTGAATAAGGTTTCTGGTTGGAAATCTGCCATTCAGATTTGCTGAATAAGGTTTCCATTGGGAAATCTTTAATTTAGCATGGCTAAATAAGGCTTCTTATACGAAATCTTCTATTCAGCCTTGCTGAATTAGGTTTTCTATGGGAATTTTTTATTTCAGCCTGGCTAAATACGATTTCTTGTGGGAAATCTGCAATTCAGCTCGGCTGAATACGGTTTCCTATAGGAAATTTTCAATTCAGCTAAACTTAATAAGGTTTCCTATAGGAAATCTTCAATTCAACCTGCCTGAATAATATTTTCTACAGGAAATCTTCAATTCAACCTAGCTGAATAAGGTTTCCATTAGGAAATTTTCAATTCAGTTTGGCTGATTATGGTTTTCATTAAGAAATATTCAATTCTGCCTGACTGAATAAGGTTTCCATTTGGGAATCTGCAATTCTGCTTAGCTGAGTAGGGTTTCATAAAGGAAATCTTCAATACAGCTTAGCTGAATAAGGTGTTCTCTAGGAAATCTGCAATTTAGCTTAACTGAATAAGGTTTCCTATAGGAAATCTTTAATTCAGCTTAGCTGAATAAGGTTTCCTATAGGAAATCTTCAATTCAGCCTGGCTGAATAAGGTTTCCTATAGGAAATCTTCAATTCAGCCTGGCTGAATAAGGTTTCCTATAGGAAATCTTCAATTCAGCCTGGCTGAATAAGGTTTCCTATAGGAAATCTTCAATTCAGCCTGGCTGAATAAGGTTTCCTATAGGAAATCTTCAATTCAGCCTGGCTGAATAAGGTTTCCTATAGGAAATCTTCAATGTAGCTTAGCTGAATAGGGTTCTTATTAAGAAATCATTAATTCAGCCTGGCTGAATAAGGTTTCCTATAGGAAATCTTCAATTCAGCTTGGCTAAATAAGGTTTCCTATAGGAAATCTTCAATTCAGTTCAATTTGGGATAGCTGAATATGGGTTTTTGAGAAAAGTTTTCATTTCAGCTTAGCTGTATTGCAACTTTATGAGCTGAATAGCATTATTTCTTAGTATATGTTCCCCATAATTCCCACACCACTTGGTGTGAAGAGTATTAATAACACACTTACTTGCATTTCCACCGAACAAATAACTTAATTAACACCCACCAGCACCACCACCGCAAAGCAATTACAGCTTGTTTGTAAGAACCCACACAACTTTTTAATAAAAAAAAACTTTAAACGGAATTTGTCTCTGTTTTTCTTTGACAACAGATTTGAAAGGAAACCGAAGATTCCAAAACAAACAAAATCTCAATGACCTGCTTGACTTCTTCTTCGTTGTCGTCGTATTTATCATTCCTTCACAATTCATCACAAAGGATATTAAATAAATCTCCTACTCATTTTTTCTTTGCAGATATTTTTACTTGACTTGACATCATCCCATAATCGTTAAATCGACACCGAGGAGAGAGAGAGGAGGGGAGGAGGAGGATAAAAATAGCAACTATTAACAACAACAAAAAAACACACACACACACACAAAGAAAGAAAATCCCCCATCAAGTGTTAAAGGAGGAGGGTGGCGACGTAGTGGTGGCATTGATTACCACAAGTCCTTAGAAGAGCTTTTCAAAGCTCTTCTCATCCTCCGCAAAGGATGAATGTTATGCGTAAATTACGTGGCGCCGGCAGTGCTCCAGCTGGTAATGGTAGCGCCGGCAGTGCGACGAGCTCCACAGGCAGCTCGTCCACCGCAAATGGTGGTTCCACACTAACCTCGGCCGCCAGTGAGGATGCCATGCTGGATGCTCGGGTCCAAATGAGTCTACACACACTGAAAAAACTATTCAATGAATACACACATCCCAAGGAGCCTCTGAGCGAACAGGAGAGGGATATGAAACTTTATCAAATGTTACCATTGTTTTGTAAGGTAGGTCAAACCACCACCCATCTCCCATCATCAAACGGAAATGAATGAACCACCACACAATTGTTTTTCATTTAACAGGTTTTCAGTGCCTGTCCTGCCTCGGATATGAGCGAAAAGTTCTGGGATGTTGTGGCCTTTTGTCAGCAAGTTTCACGTCTAATGGTTGCCGAGATACGCAAGCGGGCCTCCAATCAAAGCACAGAGGCTGCCTCCATTGCCATTGTTAAGTTTCTGGAAATCGAAACTACGGAAGAGACCAGCAGTGGTTGGATGCTGTTGTCAACCTTGAATTTGTTGGCGAATGGTGATGTGTCCTTGATACAGGTAAGGAAGACACACACACACAGGAAATTAAGAAAACAACAACAACAAAAATCATATTCAGCCAGGATGAATAGGAATCTTTAAAGGACCTAAAATTGTCGTAGATTTTTTAAAGACTATTTTTTCAAGGCTTATCCAAGGTTTCCTATAGGAAATCTTCTATTCAGCTTTGCTGAATAAGTTTTACGGTAAGAAATCTTTAATTCAGGCCGGCTGAATAATGTTTTCATAAGTAAATCTACAATTCAGCCCAGCTGAATAAGGTTTCCTATAAGAAATCTTCAATTCAACTTAGCTGAATAAGGTTTCCAATAGAAAATCTTCAGTTCAGCTTAGCTGAATAAGGTTTCCCATAATAAATATTTAATTCAGCTTAGCTGAATAAGCTTTTCAATAGGAAATCTTTAATTCAGCTTTGCTGAATAAGGTTCCCCATAAGAAATCTTCAATTCAGCTTTGCTGAATGATGCTTTCTGTAGAAAATCTTCAATTCCGAGTGGCTGAATAAGGTTTTCCATAAGAAATCTTCAATTCAACTTAGCCGAATAAGGTTTCCTATAGGAAATCTTTAATTCAGCTTAGCTGAATAAGGTTTCTTTTAGGAAATCTGCAATTCAGCCTGGCTGAATAAGGTTTTCATTAGGAAATCTTCAATGCAGCTTTGCTGAATAAGGTTCCCCATAAGAAATCTTCAATTCAGCTTTGCTGAAAGATGCTTTCTGTAGGAAATCTTCAATTCCGAGTGGCTGAATAAGCTTTTCTATAGGAAAACTTCAATTCAGCCTGGCTGAATAAAGTTTCCTATGGAAACTCTTCAATTCAGCATGGGTGAATAAGGTTTTTTGTAGGAAATCTTTAATTTCGACTTTCTGAATAAGGTTCCGAGTTAGAAATTGTCAATTCAGCCCTGCTGAATAAGGTTTCCTGTAGAAAATCTTCAAATCAGCCTTGCTGAATCTTCAATTCAGCTAAGCTGAATAAGGTTTCCACTGGGAAATCTTAAATTCGGAATAGCCGAATAAGGTCTCCTACAACAAATGTTCAATTTAGCTTAGCTGAATAAGGGTTTCCTATAGGAAATCTTCAATTCCGAACCTGAGACTGGTCGAATAATGTTTTCATTCGGATATCTTCAATTCAGCTTAGCTGAATAAAGTTCCCCATAAGAAATCTCCAATTCAGCTTTGCTGAATGATGCTTTCTGTAGGAAATCTTTAATTCCGAGTGGCTTAATAAGGTTTCCTGTATGAAATCTTCAATTCAGCCCGGCTGAATGAGGTGTTATATAGGAAATCTTAAATTCAGCTTGGCTGAATAAGGTTTCGTATAGAAAATCTTCAATTCAGCCCTGCTGAATAGGGCTTCTGTTTGGAAATTTTCAATTTAGCCCTGCTGAATTGGGTTCCCCATAAGAAATCTTGTATTCAGCTTGGCTGAATAATGTTTTCTGTAGGAAATCTTCAATTCAGCCCTGCTGAATGAGGTTTCATTTAGAATATCTTTAATTCAGCCTGGCTGAATAAGGTTTCCGGTTGGAAATCTTCAATTCAGCCCTCCTTTAGGCCTCCTAAAATATTCTATAAAAATTCCAGGCCTCTTTTAGGGCTCCAAAAAATAAGTTTTTAATTTTTATTAAAAAATATAATAAAAATTATACCATTTCCGATTTCTCATAATTTTGTGAGGTATCCAAGGACGTGGTGGACAGTGAAGAGGTTCCTTGAAAATTTTCCATATTATCCGTTGCCACCCTAGAAGTCCCTCTTGTTGGACTCGGCTGCCTATGGACTCTATGAGTTTTCGGCCTCCTCAAAGCCATTGTATTCGCTTGTGGGTACTTCTTCTCAAATCCCTTCCTCCCATCGTGCACCAAATACCTCGAAAACCATTCGAATTGCCGCAAATACTTCTCCACACTCGAACTAATGAAATATAACCTCAATGGTTGCAGGGCCGCTTCATTCTCATCTTCAAATATCGACATTGTGGGTTGGCGTATCCAACACAAATCCACAGCAAAAACACAATGTAATAAAAATAATAGACCCGTGGCCAGGGAGGCTACACTCTGTTGTTTACAATGTCGAAAAAAGCCGTGTTGGGGCTCCTCAAAATCCGACAAATACATTAAATGGAAATCCCTTTCCGCATGATACATGGTTAGAAGCGAGGCCAACACAAACATTAACGCACCTGTGCCATTGATAATGACCTCCATTAAGGGCTTGGCAGGGCGACCCAACAAAATTCCCAACCCGCCAAATAGTGACATCAGGGTAAAGCCAAAATAGGTGCCACAATAAATAATGACATGGGGTATGGGTTCCACATCCTGCCGTACACCCATTAAGTGTAAACTTAGGCAAATGGCGGAGAGAATTGTTTCGAGGAATTTGAAGAGGAACCAGACTTGCTGCATTTTTGCGGAACTTCTTTTTGAATTTTATTTTTCAATTGTCAAAAATATTTATTTTACTTTTCTCTCCTTGCTTTTCAGGTTATGACAGCTGCCGCAGTGCCCTCTACCCTGGTGAAATGCCTTTATCTCTTCTTTGATTTACCCGCTGTTGAAGATGATCCACCATCCGATACACCCAGCGATTTCAATGCCTTTGAACGCCGCACCCTATTGCAAAAGGTTTTCGTACAGCTGTTGGTGAAATTATGTTCATATCCGTATCCGGCCGAAGAGCTGGCCCGCATGGATGATTTGACATTGCTGTTTAGCGCCATTACCTCTCCATGTCCCACACACAACATTGTGTGGCGTAAAAATGCTGCCGAAATCCTGACCACCATATCACGGCATGGTCTGACAGATGCTGTTGTCAGTTATATACATTGTAAGTAGGACAGTCGGAACCTCAAGGTGGAGGGAGATTAATATGTATCTCTTTTATTTTTTAGCCAAAGGCTGTATGGCTTTGTGTGTGGACAATATGCGGCGCTTAACATTCGGCAACCCGCTGGAAATTGTTGAAATGTTCGTTACGGTCTTTTGTTTTCTAAAGGATTCTAGTCAGGTATCACAGATACTAATGGATGATTTCAAGGCGTCACAGGGTTATACGTTCTTAACCGATTTTTTGCTCAAGTAAGTTGAGAATTTAATTTAATTCCCAAGCAGAACCCTATTCAGCCGGTCTGAATATATTTTTCCAATTCGAAACCTAATTCAGCCAGTCTAAACACAAGATTTCCTATTGGTAACCTTATTCAGCTAGGCTGAATTGAATACGTCCTAATGGAAACCTTATTCAGCCAGGCCGAATACAAGATTTGCTATTGGAACTGCTATTCAGCCGGACTGAATTGAAGATTCCCTAATAGAAACCTCATTCAGCCGAGCTGAATTGAAATTTTCCCAATAGAAACCAAGCTGAATTAAAAAATTCCTACCAGAAACATTATTCAGCCAGGCTGAATTCAAGATTTCCTCATGGAAACCTTATTCAGCAAGACCGAATTGAAGTTTTCCTATAGAAAACCCCATTCTGCCAGGCTGAATTGAAGATTTCCTAATGGTAACCTTTTTCAGCCAGGCTGAATTGAAGTTTTCCTATTGCAAGCCATATTCAGCTGGCCGTAATAGGGTTTTCTATAGAAACTCTTCAATTTAGCCAGGCTAAATAGGGGTTTCTACAGAAAATCTTCAATTTAGCTTAGCTGAATAGGGGTTTCTACAGAAAATCTTCAATTTAGCTTAGTTGAATAAGGTTTTCTATAGAAAATCTTCAATTCAGCTAAGCTGAATAAGGTTTTGTATGGAAAATCTTCAATTCAACTTAGCTGAATAAGGTGGTTCTATAGAAAATCTTCAATTTAGCTTAGCTGAATGAGAGATTTTATAGAAAATCTTCAATTCAGCTGTGCAGAATAAGATTTTCTATAGAAAATCATCAATTCAGCCGTGCTGAATAGGGGTTTCTATAGAAAATTTTCAATTCCGCCGGGCTGAATAGGTTTTTCTATAGAAAATCTGCAATTCAGCTTAGCTGAATAAGGTTTTAAATAGAAAATCTGCAATTCAGCTTAGCTGAATTAGGTTTTCAATAGAAAATCTGTAATTCAGTTTAGCTGAATTAGGTTTTCAATAGAAAATCTGCAATTCAGCTTAGCTGAATTAGGTTTTCAATAGAAAATCTGCAATTCAGCTTAGCTAAATTAGGGTTTCAAAGGAGAAATGTTCAATTCAGTCTATCAGAATAAGGTTTTGCATTGGGGATTTTCAATTCAGCTTATCTGAATAAGGGTTCCATTATAACATTTTTTATTTAATAATAACTGTTTTTTCCCCCTTCCAGATTCGATACATCTCGCACCCACTCCGTTGAAGTTCAGGCTGCCATACGCAATCTGGTCCTGATGATCTCATCACTGTGCATGTGTGGCTATAATGAGTTGAGGCCACCACAGGCACAAATAAATGCCCTTTTCAAGATGCAAAATTTCCAAATGCCCCAAGCCTCATCGCGGGAGACATGTGTACGCAACATCTATGCTTTTCAGGTGCTGCAAACGGTATTCCTGAGAGCAACATCCTCCGGCCTCTGCTGTACAATATTGGATGCCATCTCCCGTGTCTATCATTCGGAAAATGCCAATTATTTTATATTGGAATCGGAAAATACCCTCAGTCAATTTACCGAACGGATACATCTAAAGGGATCACAGATACAAGAGAAATTTTTCGATTTATTGGAATTCATTGTGTTCCAATTGAATTTTGTACCCTGCAAGGAATTGATATCGCTGTCATTGCTACTCAAGAATAACCATTCGACCAGCTGTAGTATTTTATGCCTCAAGACCCTGTTGAATATTTTAAGGCATAATAATGTATTTAAGGATGTCTATCGGGAGGTTGGCATATTGGAAGTATTTGTAACGTGCCTGAATCGTTATGCCGATCATGTGCGCACCATAACCAAAGATGATGAAAATGCTGTGGTCGTGGCAGAGGAAGGAGAAACGGAAGATCTCGCCGATAGCATGGGTAAACATGTTCTGGAGGCCCTTACCATACTGCTGAGTGGTAACAACAACAATGCCAATGTTTTTCGTGAAAGTGGCGGAGCGAAATGTATTCACGATTTGGTGAAATTTAAGCATTGTCGTCCCCAATCGTTGGGCATTATTCGCGAACTCATCCTCTCTGCGGGTGGAGATGATGATATGCTGTTCATACTCTCCGTCATGCATTCGGTACCACCCTATCAAGTGGAATTTAAAATACAAATCCTTAATATGCTACTGGGTTGCCTCAAGGATTCACATCGTACCCGGACAGTATTCCGCAAGGTTGGTGGCTTCGTATATCTGACTAGTGTCTTTGTATCGCTGGATGGTAAACTGTGCGATGAAGATCACATTGAGGCTGAGGCTGATGCTGATCCTGAGGCTCAACTAATACCCCAGGATGATTTGGTTCTGCTACTACAAATGGTTTGTCAAACCTTGGCTACGGCAATGCGCTTCGAACCGGCAAATGCCAAGTTTTTCCATCAAGAGATTTGTACTGCCTCGCTGTGTGATACCCTGCGGCTGCTGGGATGTTTTGGCAATGAAACCGAGCTGCCCGAATTTAAAGGAATATTTAAAACGGATATCGGCACGCAGAAGTATTATCATGAAGTCTTTTCGGGTGACATTTTGAATTATAGGTAAGAAAAATTATAGGTATTCAGCAACGCCTGAAATGAAGATTTGCCAATGAAAATCATATTCAGCCAAGTTAAATTTAAAATATCCAAAAAGGAACCTTATTCAGCGGGCTAAATTGAAGATTTTCAATAGATAACCTTATTCAGCCGAGCTGAATTGAAGTATCCTATTGATAACACTATACAGCCAGGCTGGATTGAAGTTTACCTATGGAAACCCCTATTCAGCTGAATTGAAATTTTTCAATAGGAAACCTTATTCAGCTAGGCTGAATTGAAGTTTTCCTATAGATATGAAAACGCTATTCAGCTGGGCCGAATTAAAGTTTACCTATAGGAAAACCTATTCAACCGGGATGAAACAAAAATTTTCTATTGTATATCTTATTCAGCCAAGCTGAATTACAGATTTGTCATCGGAAATCTTATTCAGCAAAGGGAACTTTTGATATTTTTTGAGATATTTAATCTATATTTTTTTATTTTTCAGATTCCAGGACACCATACCCCGTTCTCTGTCCTATGTGTGCGTAGTATACCGCCTACTGTACAGTATTGCTTTGGATAATTTCGAATCTCCAAATCTGAATAACATAATTACCCTGTTTAACGATCAGCATAATCGTTCACCATCCAAAGAATTAGCTTTACCTCCAGCTCACCCAAATCAGCTGAATCTCTCACAACCCACACCGGAACCTCGCATTGTCCATCCGGGTGTGGTTTTGTGCATGATCCAACTACTACCCAGCGTGACACATAACCAACAACACACCTTGGCCACAAATCTGCAAGTATACCTTAGCGAAGTCATCAAGTCTCTGGTGCGCAGTGAACGCAACCAACAAATAATGTGCGACTATGGCCTGGCGGGTCAACTGCTGAAAATCGCCCGAAAAGCTTTATCCGAAGAAGTCAATCCCCTACATGTCCCCATGCAATACATTTTGGAGAGATTGGCAGCTCAGGCCCTGCAGCCTACCGAGCTGAGAGAATTTTTACGTTTGGGTGAACCCCTGTCGTGTAAAAATATCGATCTTAATAAATGCTATTCCATGGGTGGACCTGTACCATTGACTCGTATAAAAACATTGGTCTCCATGACGACGCCAAGAGATTTTCGAGCACACGGATCCAGCACCCTGCCGCCGTTTGTTGAAATGGATATGTCCGCGGAGGGATTTGGGTGTCTATATCTGCCCTCATTGGCTCCGCAGGCAACGGCCACCGCTGGTGGTACCATAGATGCCAATACAATCGGTGGTATTGGTTCGGGAGATCGCATCTTTCCACCGCAGACAGGTCTTTCATTCTCCACCTGGTTTTGTGTTGAGAAATTTTCAGATCCAAAAACAGATCCACATTGTGTGAGGCTACTGACATTGGTGCGTACGATACACAACCCGAGGGAGGAGAATTTGGTATGTCTTTCGATATTGCTCTCGGCGAGGGATAAGGCTATTGTGGTGTCAACACAGGAGACCCTGGTGACGCCAAGTAAAAGTGAGTAGACATTTAAAACATCATTTTCAGTTTAGAATCTAGTATCAGTTAGGTTGGATTGGAGTTTTCCTATTTGAAACCTTATTCAGCAAGGCTGAATTGACATATTCTTAATGGAAACCTAATTCAGCCAGGCTGAATTGAAGATTTCGTAATGGAAAACTGGCTGGGCTGAATTTACGATTTCCTAATGGAAACCTTATTCAGATGGGCTGAATTGAAGATTTCCTAATGGAAACCTTATTCAGCTCGGCTGAATCGAAGTTTTCTTATTGGAAACCTTATTCAGCTGAGCTAAATTTAAGTTATCCAATTTGAAACCTTATTTAGCTGGTCTGAATTGAAGTTTTCCTAATGGAAATGATTTCATATGATGATTTCTTACTAGAAACCTCATTCAGCCGAGCTGAATTTAAGATTTCCTATAGAAAACCTTATTCAGCCGAGCTGAATTGAAGATTTCTTATAGAAAACCTTATTCAGCCATGCTGAATTGAAGATTTTCTATAGAAACCCTTATTAAGCCAGGTTGAATTGAAGTATTCCTAATATAAACCTTATTCAACATGGCTGCATTGAAGATTTCCCAACGGAAACCCTATTCAGCCAAGCTGAATTGAAGATTTCCCAATGGAAACCTTATTCAGCCAGGCTTAATTGAAGATTTCCAAATGGAAACCTTATTCAGCTGGGCTGATATCAAGTCTTCCTAATGGAAACCTTATTCAGCTTAGCTGAATTGAAGATCTCCTACTGGAAACCTTATTCAACTGCGCTAAATTGACGATCTCCAACTGGAAATCTTATTCAGCTAAGCTAAATTGAGGATTTCACACCGGAAACCTTATTCAGCTGGGCGGAATTGAAGATTTCCTATTGGAAACCTTATACAACTGTGCTGAATTGCTGATTCTATACTGAAATGTTAATGTTTTTCTTGATTTCCAGGCCTTGGTGACTGGGAACCTGAGGGATCGGATGACAACAGTGCCCGCATTTGGTGTCCCGATTTATTACACGAAGGCCAGTGGCACCATTTGGTGGTGGTACTTAATCGAGCGGTCTTGAAAAACTCCAGTCTGTCGCTGTACTTGGATGGAACGGTAGGAGGACCTGAAATCTCGCCCTATCTCTAAGTTTGATAATAATTTTTAATCACTCTCTAATTTTAGCCCCTCCATTCCCAAAAGCTCCATTATATCTCACAAAACCCGGGAGCCGGTTCGGCCAACCTACCAGTGGCCACCTCGGTATTTGGTTACATTGGAACACCACCTATTTGGCGCCGCTACTCACGTCTGTGTTGGAAGCAGGGTGTTTGCCACCTTCTCGAAGATGTGGTAAATCAACAGACAGTCCAAACTATTTTCAATTTAGGTCCCCATTACATGGGTTCGCTGCAAGCCCCCCAACTGGGTAAAAAGGTTGAACCTTTAGGCCCCTTGGTGGCAGAGGAAAAAGTCCTCTTAGGTCTCAATGCCAAGGCTGTATCTCAATTAACATTGGTCAAGATCCGCAAGGTTTACAGTCGTGCCGATAATAAGTCCATTGCCAAGCAGCTGGGCATGAACTCTCATGAAAATGCCACGCCCATTAAGTAAGTTGCGGGATTCTAAAGGAGGGGATTTATTATTATTAATTGAATCCGTTTTTTTATTTTTCAGAATCCTCCACAACTCAGCTGGTCATTTGGCTGGAGCTGGCCGCACCCTGGGCGGTGTGGTAGTGGGCTATCTAGGTGTCCGCGTCTTTAGCCCCCATCCCGTCTCTGCCATGATTGACACCGTCGGCGGCTGCAATGTCCTCCTCGGCATCATTGCCATGGCACAAGACGTGGAGTCTTTGTATGCCGGCGTCAAGGCCCTAACATGTGTGGTACGCAGTAACCGCGCAGCCCAAAGTGAAATGGATCGCAAGCGCTGCTACCAGACCCTCGGCATGTTCTTCAAGAAGAAGAAAAATCTCCTGAATTCCCACATTTTGCACTTGACATTTGGCTTAGTGGGCACGGTGAACAGTGGCCAGGATATGTCAGCCATTCCCAATGTTACAGCTTTCCAAGATCTCCTTTGCGATTTGGATATATGGCATAATGCCCCCAATGGGCTGCTCAGATCTTTGCTGGAACATTTATTGGAATTGGCTGTGGAGTCGAATGAGAAGAAACAAAATGTGAAAATCATGAGAGAGCTACAATTACTCAATAAGCTGCTCTATATCATCGTCGATATTCAGGATCATTCCACGCGGGAGATTCTCTTCAATTTAGTCGAAGCCCTCCTGGGAGGTCAGCCAAGGCACACCGATCTTTTGCTATTTGGCCAATATTGTGCTTCCAAACTACCCAAAGCCGATCAGGTCGAGAAGTCCCTAATACTACCCACAATGAAACCCACCCCGAATCCTTCCAATTCCGCTGCAACTGCCGAAAATGATACAACTGCTCAGAACATCTACTTGCGGAATCGTTGCCTATCCCTACTACACGGTTTGCTTTTCACCGCTCGGAATACTGTCAATTACATCATCTGCGATGATATCTCCAAGACCCTGGGAATGGATTGGCTTCTGCTCTTCATGCAACCGAATGTCCACTTCACCACGGTGATAATTGCGGTAAGGATCTTGGTCGTGATCTGTGCCAATGAAAGTTTTTTGGTACGTTTCCGTGACTCTACCCATAATGGCGGATATTTGCGCTTTACCGAAATGGTTTCCCAAAAGAAGTCCATGGGCATTGCAGCCCAGCAATTGAATTCCAGGCCATCGACTGGGACCGGAACTGTTATTGTGGCCACCACCGCCAATACCTTGCAGCATTTGCCCACCCATATTGCCGGGGAGGTTAGGACGGCGGCTTTGAATATACCAGGTGAGGTCATATCAAAGCTAGTTTTCAAGTCAGCCAAGCTGAATACGATTTTCTACATAAAATCTTCAATTCAGCCTGGCTGAGTAGGGTTTCTATAGAAAATATTCAAATCAGCCTTATTCAGCCCAGCTGAATAATGTTTTCTATAAAAAATCTTCAATTCAGCTTAGCTAAATAAGGTTTTCTTTAGAAAAACTTCAGTTCAGCTTAGCTGAATAAGGGTTTCTATAGAAAAACTTCAATTCAGCTTAGCTAAATATGGGTTTCTATAGAAAATCTTCAATTCAGCTAAGCTGAATAAGGTTTTATATGGAAAATCTTCAATACAGCTTGGCTGAATAAGGGTTTCTATAGGAAATCTTCAATTCAGCTTGGCTGAATAAGGTTTTCTATAAAAAAATCTTTAATTCAGCTTAGCTGAATAAGGTTTTCTATAGAAAAACTTCAACTCAGCTTAGCTGAATAAGGGTTTCTATAGAAAAACTTCAATTCAGCTTAGCTTAATAAGGGTTTCTATAGAAAATCTTCAATTCAGCTAAGCTGAATAAGGTTTTATATGGAAAATCTTCAATACAGCTTGGCTGAATAAGGTTTTCTATAGGAAATTTTCAATTCAGCTTGGCTGAATAAGGTTTTCTATAGAAAATCTTCGATTCAGCTTGGCTGAATAAGGTTTGCTATAAAAAATCTTCAATTCAGCTAAGCTGAATAAGGTTTCTGATGGGAAATCTGCAATTCAGCTTAGCTGAATAAGGTTTTCGATTGGAAATCTGCAATTCAGCCCAGCTGAATACGGTTTTCTATAGAAAATCTTCAATTCAGAATGGCTGAATAAGGTTTCCCTTAGGAAAACTTCAATTCAGCCCAGCTGAATAAGCCTTTTCTATAGAAAATCTTCAATTCAGCCTGGCTGAATAAGGTTTCCAAAGGGAAATCTGCAAGTCAGCCATACTGAATAAGGTTTCCATTGGGAAATCTACAATTCAGCTTAGCTGAATAAGGATTCCGATGGGATATTTGTAATTCTGCTTAGCTGAATAAGGTTTTGATGTGAAATCTGTATTCATCTTAAGCTTCTGATAGAAAATCCTGATTTCAGCTCAGTCGAATAAGGCTTTCAATATGATTTCCATTTATTTTTCGATACTAACCTCTGATTTTCCTAATTTTTCTAGGTTTCCAGACCCTGGAATGGTTAATGCAGTACCACCTGGACGTCCCGGAATTATATTTCCTGATTACTGCTTTGATAATGGGGCAACCTGTAAAATTACTGGCCACAGAACACACAAAATTCGATCTGGATCGTGTGTGGTCATTCCTATGGGGTGCCCCCGTTTCGGCCAATACAAATATACCAAAAATGAATATTTGCCCGGAGGGAGTATGTGTCCTGCTGGGTATGGTTAGAGCCATAGTGCATGGTGGGGAAATGGCTCCCTGGTTGAATAGTCATCCTGAGACAATAATACAGTTGCTATTTAGTCTCTATCAAAATCTTACCGATTTTATGCCAGTCATGATGTCGGGAGATGTTATATCGTCCCTGGTTGCGGTGCTCTTCCCCAATAGCAGTAAAGATGAAAATGTGGAATCAGAACCGAACAGCGGTAATAGTTCACCCACAGAGGAAACGGGTGGTGGTTTTATGATGAGCCTCAATGCTGCTGCTTCGGGGAATGCAAGTACAATGGTCAAGCTAACTAATCATCCGGTTAGGAAATGCATCATCGACTTCCTGAGGGTCATTGTGGTCGATTCGTTGAGCTTGAATATGCATGGCAAAACAACACCGGTTATAGATTTGGTATTGGATGCCTCACCCGAAAATTCGGAGCTAAATTTACAAATCGAATATCAAACGGAAATTATTACGGCCCTAATGGACCACTTGCTGGCAGCTGATATTTTGGTAGGAGAACAGGCTGCCCTGTCGTTGGTACCCCTAATACAAAGCCATACCCAACATGTGGCTCCGAATGTTTTCTATTTCACGGCACGTGTGGTGGATAAAATGTGGCAGGGCTGCTTGACCCGCAATCCGCATGATATCTTCGATTTCATTATCAAATTGATAGCTCAGGCTAAGAGAAGAACTTCGTCGCTGACATTGGAACAGTTGCATCATTCATTGAATCGAACCATTTTGTATTTATTGTCAAGACCCACAGAGGCCATAACCGAGCAGATGAGCGTCTTGGAGGCTCTGCATAAAATCATTACCCATCGTTTGCTGATTTTCGGTGCTGGAAACCATGAACTGGAATTCATTGGATGTCTAACCTATTGTCTGCTCCAACTGACATCGGATATGAAAATTATTTTGGAACCATCCACTGCGCGTAATACCACCTGGCATGTTAATCCGCAGGCGGATATCATCGAACCCAAAGATGAGGATTTAAATCAATTGCAGGTAAGGTCACATTTTCAAAGTAAGGGCCCCAAGCTAACCCTCCTCTATCCTCTTTTTTCCTCCAGGGTCGCAATTTAATTGTCGGAGCCGCCTTCCGGGTCTGGGAAGAGCTGTATGTTTGTAAGAAACCAGCCATTGAAGAGGTATTTAAAGTGTCATTGTCCGCTCCGCCGAATAACCAAAAAGCTCCAGATCTGCAAACTACCCGAGAACAGGTTATGGAACTGGCTTCGAAATTATGGTTTAATTATGTCGATGCCGAACGTAAAGCCTCGTATCGCATTCCCTGGGAAATCCACAATCAAATACAATCGAAAATCCAAAAGGTTACTGGAGGTCTGACACGGCTGGCAAGCCGCACCAAAGTCAAGAAGGATGAAATGGTTCGTGCTAAGTCGTCGATGACCCGGGAATCGGCATTCGAATGCACCAACATTCATGTGCAGTTGATAAAGTGAGTAGTTCGGAGAAGTGAAATTAAATAATATTCTACCCTGCCTCGCTGAAAAAAGTTTCCTTTAGGAAATCTTCAATTCAGCAGTGCTGAATAATGTTTCCATTAGGAAATCTTCAATTCAGCCTGTCTGAATAGGGGTTTTCATTTGGAAATCTTCAATTCAGCCTGGCTGAATTAGGTTTCCATTAGGTAATCTTCAATTCAGCCTAGCTGAATTAGGTTTCCATTAGGAAATCTTCAATTCAGCCTGGCTGAATGAGGTTTCCGTTGGGAAATCTTCAATTCAGCCTGGCTGAATAGGGGTTTCCAATAGGAAATCTTCACCTTTTAGGATTCCGTTTTTTAATCAATTTTCTTTTTTCCATTTCCAGGGACCTTTGGGAGTTACGCTGCAAACAATACCTACAAATGCTGCAACACACCCAGCGTTATGTCTATCAGGATTGGGTCCAATCGGAAACAGAATTGACCCGCGAACGTGGCCTCTGGGGCCCTGAAGGCTGTTCCACACTCGATAAATGGATATTGGATACGACAGAAGGTCCACATCGCATGCGTAAGAAAACCATGCGTAATGATCTCTTCTATCTCCACTATCCATATCGTCCCGAGCTGGATATACCCGATAATCGTCAATTAAAATATAAAGTTGCCACCAGCTTCGATAGTAAAATCTATTACACCCATTGTCAGCAGCCACCGCGTATTTTGTGTGAAACGGATTCTTTGGCACAACAACAACAATCGCTGCAACATCAACATTCCGTAGATGCCAATCAATTGTTGAAGGCGTCGGGACATGGACAAGCGGCTCATCATCCCCAATTACAGACGTCAAAAAGTGAACCGGGTGGTACGACAAGTACACCACCCCAGTCACCGAATGAACATCGGGCTGCTGCTGCTGCTTCGACTGCAGTAGCTCATGCCCAGGAATCGTTGGACATTAATGCTCCCGACGATGAGGACGAGGATGATGAAATGTCAAATATTTCTGATAATGAGACATTCTTGCGGCTGCTGGAGGAACAGGAAAAAATCTCCTTTATGTTTAGATGTGCCCGAATACAGGGTTTGGATACCTTTGAGGGTCTGCTGTTATTCGGCAAAGAACATTGTTACATCGTCGATGGTTTTACATTGCTCAAAAATCGGGAAATTAAAGATATTGATACTTTGCCACCAGGGGCCTATGAACCGATTATACCAAATTCTGGTGGTACCACCCGGCAGCACAAAGTTCGTCAATGTTCCAAATTTGCTTATGAGGAGATACGGGAAGTCCATAAACGGCGTTATTTGCTACAGCCCATTGCATTGGAGGTCTTCTCCGAAGATGGCCGAAATTATTTGCTAAGTTTTCCGAGGAAGGTGCGGAACAAGGTCTATCAAAGATTTATGGCCCATGCCACAGCCATTAATGATAATGCCCAGCAATCGGTGGCGGGGCAAAAGAGAACGGCAAGTGTGGAACAAACATCGGGTATTTTCAGTAGTTTGATTGGTGAGACCTCGGTGACCCAGAGATGGGTGGTAAGTATTTGATTTGTCAAGGGGTATTCGAACTTTTATTTAATATTCCGATCTTTTTTCCAGCGTGGTGAAATCTCCAACTTCCAATATTTAATGCATTTAAATACCCTGGCCGGTCGCTCCTACAATGATCTCATGCAATATCCCGTATTTCCCTGGATATTGGCCGATTATGATTCGGAAGAATTGGATTTCAATAACCCAAAGACATTCCGTGACTTCTCCAAACCCATGGGTGCCCAGTCGGAGGAGAGATTGGAACAATTTCAGAAGAGATTTAAGGTGGGTCCTCAAAACACACACACCCTCCGTAACCTATAAGAATAATACATATTGATGTTCCTTTAGGAATGGGATGACCCTCATGGTGAGACACCACCCTATCACTATGGCACCCATTACTCATCGGCCATGATTGTTTGCTCATATCTGGTGCGCTTGGAACCATTTACCCAGCATTTCTTGAGACTACAGGGGGGTCATTTCGATTTGGCCGATCGAATGTTTCACAGCATCAAGGAGGCCTGGCTGTCGGCTTCCAAGTTTAATATGGCCGATGTTAAGGAGCTAATACCTGAATTTTTCTACCTCCCCGAATTTATAACCAATTCAAATAATTTTGATTTGGGTAGGTCCACAGAAGTAGAGGTTAAAGAGAGTAAATAATTGTTCTTTTTTCTTTTAAAGGTACCAAACAAAATGGCGAAACTTTGAACGATGTTATCTTGCCACCATGGGCCAAACAGGATCCGCGAGAATTTATAAGACTACATCGGAATGCCTTGGAGTGTGATTATGTTAGCCAGAATTTACATTTGGTAAGGAATGAATTTCAAAAAATATTCGGGAAGGACAGAGACTTTAAAGAAGGGTTAAGGGTCACAGGAGTGGATTTTTTAAAAATATTTTTTGAAGGGTCTATCACAGGGCTGGGTTTTTTAAAAATATTTTTATTATTAATTTCCTTCTTTCCTCTTCCAGTGGATCGACTTGATATTTGGCCACAAACAACAAGGTCCTGCTGCTGTGGAGGCCACAAATGTTTTCCATCATTTGTTCTATGAGGGAAATGTTGATATTTATAAGTAAGTCCCGCTCCTTTTGCCTTCGGAGTTTTGTAATGAATTCCCTCCACTCTTTTAAAATTTCCAGCATTGATGATCCGCTGAAGAAAAATGCCACAATTGGTTTCATTAATAATTTTGGACAAATACCCAAACAACTGTTCAAGAAACCACATCCCGCCAAGAAAATGTCTGGCTCACGACATTCCACGCTAATCGATCCGAGTGCTTTGATACAGGGCAATACCACTGTTTTACAATCCGATCGTTTGTTCTTCCATAATTTGGATAATTTGAAACCGAGCCTGCAACCCATTAAGGAGCTAAAAGGTCCCGTGGGTCAGATATTGCAACCAGATAAGACTGTTTTTGCTGTGGAACAAAATAAGGTACACATTGGGACAACTTTTTTTTCGAAAGGAGGAATCTAATAGCTTATTTTCTTTCTCTTTTCTAGGTTATGATGCCACCATCATATACGAAATATATAGCCTGGGGCTTTGCCGATCACTCGCTGCGCATTGGTCTCTACGATACAGATCGTGCTTCATTTGTCTCAGAAGCAGCTGCACAAAATTCTGGTGAAATTTTGGCTTGTGCCTGTCCCAATTCGAAAATGATCATCACAGCCGGAACCAGCTCCGTTATTACAATTTGGAAATTTGATGCAAATCGTAAAAGTTTAACGGTTAAACATTCGCTACATGGCCACACTGATGCTGTTACCTGCCTGGCAGCTAGTGCAGCATATAATGTTATTGTGTCGGGATCGAGAGATGGTACTGCCATTGTTTGGGATATGACACGGTTTACATTTGTGCGTCAGCTGCCAGGTCATGTGGGTGTGGTGGCCGCGGTGGCCATTAATGAATTGACGGGTGATATTGCAACATGTTCCGCCACGTGGCTACATGTATGGTCTATAAATGGTGACCCCCTGGCAACGGTTAATACTTGCGTGGGAAGTGCCGATCGTATGCAGCAAATATTGTGTGTGGCCTTTTCACAAATACGAGAATGGGATCCACAGAATGTTGTAATTACTGGTTCAACAGATGGTGTTGTGAGGGTAAGTGGAAATGGATTTTTAAAAATATTTTTCAAGGGTCTATCAAAGGCGTTTTTCAAGGGTCTCAAACAGGCGTGGATTTTTTAAAAATATTTTTTCAAGGGAGATTTTTTTAAACATATTTTTTGGAGGTCTCAACATAGGCGTGGATTTTTTAAACATATTTTTTGAAGGCCTCAACATAGACGTGGATTTTTGAAACATATTTTTTGGAGGCCTCAACATAGACGTGGATTTTTTAAACATATTTTTTGGAGTCCTCAACATAGACGTGGATTTTTTAAACATATTTTTTGGGAGCCTAAATAGTTTTCCAATGGGGTATAATTGGGGTGGATTTTTAAAAATATTTTTTCAAGAGTCCCCAATAAAAATTTTGCTTCCTCTTCCCCTTTTAGATGTGGTCTCTCGAATATGTTCAAGTACCCATTGAACGCAAACTGAAACGTTGTGCCGAAATTAAATCTCAAGAAAATCCTGATACCGGTTCGGACAAAGAAGATGAGGCTGTGGGTGGTGAAACGTCCAAGAAAATGGAATTATTTAAACAAATGCAAAGCATATCTTCACATGATGATAACGGTAAATAAAATTCACCTCAACTGTTACCCAATTTTCTAATCTCTTCTCTTTTTCCAGAAATCCATAAATCCGCTTCCGAAAGTAGCATATCAGAAGCATCCCAGCATTCAAATAACTCCACGCAATCGGATAAACCAATGAAAGAATGTGAAATCCCGGTGACATCAGAACGGCGGAAATCTTCATTTTCGGGAGCGAAATCGCTACATGAAATTAAATCATCAACGGTAGAGGGTTCCGGTGGCAATAAGGGAATTGAGGGTAAGATTTGATTTCTTAAAATTGGGGTTTTCAAAATTATTAATTTTGTTGTTTGGTTGTTGTTTTCTTTGCCACCCAGAAGAAGAACGTTCCACAATACGTCCCAGCAAATCTGATACTAGTCTCACCGATGGTTTCGTCATGATCGATAATGATAAACATCGTGGTGATCATTGCCTGAAGAAAGGTAAGCATTTTCGAGGTTATGATTTTTCAATTTTTAATTTGTTTCTTGTCGCATCTCTCTAGGCTTCAAATGGCAACGTCAATTAATGTTCCGTTCAAAATTAACCATGCACACGGCCTATGATCGCAAAGATAATGCCGAACCGGCCAGTATTACAGCCTTGACGGTATCCAAAGATCATAAAATCTTATATGTGGGTAAGTAAAATTTAAATTTTTAAAGGATTTGGATTTATGGGTTAAAATGCGATTTTGAAAATAAATAAATTTTTGATTTTTTGATTTATTTAATATTTTTCTCTTATTTTTGTAGGTGATGCTCGCGGTCGCATTTATTCATGGTGTGTCACTGAACAACCTGGTCGTGGTGTGGCCGATCATTGGCTTAAAGACGAAGGAGCTGATCAGTGTGTTAAATGTCATGTTAAGTAAGTAGTAACCAATATATTTGAAAGGGGAATAACGAGGGAGAATTTTTTTATGAACGGCTATAAATCCGTCTTTATGAACGTATATAGGAGACGCTATTTTAGTTCAAGGTAATTTTTAAAGTGGTAAAATTGTATTTTTGTACGCCAGCTAAAGACATTATTTATAGTGGAACTAGAGGAAATCTTTGTAAGCGATCTGAAGACAGTAAATATCTATAACCCGAAGGTGTTTTTTATAAACCAGCTATGGAAACTTAGAAGACGAGCGGAAAGGGTACTTACAGATCAGCTGAAAGAATTATTTATTAATTGCATGTAGTGTAGACGACATTTTACACGAACTGAATGGAGCCTTTATAGATGAACTGGATGGAGTATTTATGGACGACCTGAGGGGAGTCTTTATAGACGAGCTGGAGTAAGTCTTTACAGTGGAACTGAAGGGAGACTATATAGACGACCTGAGGTGTGTTTTCATAGACGTGCTGAAGTGTGTCTTTATGAACGAAAAGGAGTGATACTTTATTGATGAGCTGAACTCAGTCTTTATAGACATGCGGAAGGATTTTTTTTTATAAATGGGATTTTATGTATCAGTTTTGTGGAGTCTTTATTAACGAGCTAAAGAGAGTCATTATAGCCGAGTTAGATGGATTATTTATAGACAAGTGAGTCTCTATGGACGAGTTGTAGTAAGACTTTATAGAGGAGCTGAAGCCAGGAACTCTTTGGAGCCGAGAGGAACTAAAAAAGTATTTAAAAATGAACTGATGGGAATATTTAGAGACGAGCTGGAGGAAGACTTTACAAAAGTGCTGAAGTGAGTCTTTATATACGACCTGAGTAGTGTATCTATAGAGGAAGGATGTCTTTATAGACAACCTGAAGGGAGTCTTTATAGACAAGGTGGAGGGAGCTGCAGAGATTCTTAATAGACGAACTGGAGATAACACTATTGCATTGCTATTTAAGCTTATACCTGCGAGTGGAAACCTAGCTGAATGCTAACGGACACGTTCATAGCTTTATAATTAAACAAACATATGAGTTCGTAGTCTTCTCCTCTTTAGGATGACCCCCTAATGCTAATGTGTTTTTTGAAACCGTGCCCATCGCAGCCTTATCGATACCTGGGCGCATCGATACGCATTAGGTTTAGTTATCTACCAAGTCTTTGTCAATTTCGACCTCATGTCCTCCTCTTAACCTATGCCCATTGATTCTCCAACTTTGTTAAACCCCCATAAAAGACAAACAAACTCTGCGGCTGATTTTGTATTGGCTGCCTTGGCACACTTGGCAAATTTGAACTCGGACACGGACTCGTTTCAAAAATCAAAAAGTGTATGCTCACGCATGTGCATCGGTCTGGGGCGACATACATATATGAAAATCTGACACGACAAAGTGAATCCCATTTTAGACTCATTGAGGAATGTGATATCTTTCATCAAAGCATCCCAACCGACATATGGGATGACACCCAAATGCCAGACAAAGTGGAGGGTTCCTTTAAAGCGGAAACCGTCGTAAATACGTCGGCTACAGTCGACAAGCCATCACATCTGAGGCAGGCGGCTACGAAGGGGAAAGAAGTCAAATGTGGGTGTTCCAAAGTTACTTTGGAACCCTTGTTGTCGGCTTCTGCTCTTAAAAGTGTCAATCTCAAGGAAGGGAAGGCAATTTACTACTGCCAACGATACGTAGATAGGACCCCAACATGATGAGTGAGAAGGAATTCAACTGGAATTCAAGCAGCACCTAAAGGTCGTGTGGAAGTACGAAAAGCACTATCCCCACCAATGTCTTTCTTTACACAACAAATCAGAGCAAATTCCACTTATATTAAATTGTGTATTATATAACAGGATATAGGTACGAGCAGAAGTCTTTTGATCAGAATATATTTTCAAATCATAAACTTAGGTGATAGGCGACTATTCCATTCAGGCATGTCTGATAGGCCTGGTCCTTGATATAGAGGCACACTTTTGTACCTCTGGATCTTTTGTTACGTTGACCCACAGAAAGAATCGTCTCTTTATTTAATTGTCTTATGTGCGTCTTTGCTTTGCACTTACGTTAGCGGTCCAAGCTGGAGCCGCATAGGAAATTAAGCATTGAAAATTATTATTTACGGAACCACGTTCTGGAATATCTCCCATATAACGTTAGTACTTTACGATATTACGATATTTAAAAGATATCAACAGCATTAAACCGAAACAAAGTGCCTACAAATTAGTGTTTCAGAGGCTGTATGATCTTCTGACAGAATAATTCATTACAAACCCATATTTTAATAAGGCCACCATATGTTCGTCCGTAATATATAATTATTGTTCTCGGAAGATCTTAGAGGTATTTTTCAAAAGAATCTGGAATTTGAAATTTCTGTTTTTAATGGGTGAAAGATCTACTGGCACAAATAATAATCGTTTTTAGTTACAAGTTCATTCCCAATTTTATAAATTTTTGAGGTCTGCGCCTCATCTTTCAACTGAAATCGATGCTTCGGATTCTCGGAGTGAAAAATAACTATTCAGAGAAAAAATTTAATATTGGTTCCTGTATTTACAAATACTCCATTATGCGGGTCCAAATTTAAAGTATTTTTAAATTCCTTGTCACATTTTCCAATCGAAGTGCCAGAAGAGTCAAATACTCCACTTGGCTGAAAATCTTTAATGTAGTGTCCCATTTAAAGGATTTAGACTATTTGACATTCTAGACATTCAATAGTTAGAAATCTCCTTCAAAAAATATTAGAAATCGGTTTTCCAATTATAGTATCTGATAGCATTTAATGATCTGAATAAATAGAAATACTTCTTGTAAAAAATCGGGGTTTCAGACGGTTCAATACATCTGCACGTAAATTGTCACAATCCATATAATATCCCATTTTAGGTGTATTGAGGAACTTGTCACAATTTCCAGTCCAAGTTATTTCGTATTTGAGGTTCTCAATGGATTTAAAACCTCCTTGGGACGGTAGCAAAAAAAGCCCATATTGCGGTTAAGCTTTAGGATTTTTGTATGCTTGTGGTTTAGGTATATTCTTCAATGTCAGTATATATTATTGGATGTGTAAGGTACTAATGTTTGGAAAAAAAATTTTGCAGAAGATTTGGACTTGGTTGTGGTTCGTAATGGATAGGCAATTTCATTGCATACAATGTTCAATTTCTAAACAATTAAAATTAATTTTAGCTCGATTTTATTACAATTTTTATACCCTACACAACTATGTTGTCAGGGTATTATAGCTTTGTGCAGCCCCAAAAGTTTGTAACGCCGCGAAATATTGGTCCTAGACCCACCTTTAAGTATACCGATCGTCATATCTCGACTAGCTGAGTCGATCTAGACATGTGTGTCCGTCCGTCCGTCCGTCTGTCCATTATAATTTGTAAACACGATACAGGCCACAGTTATGGACCAATCTTCACGAAATTTTGCATGTAGGATGGGTTCTGGCCAATGAAGACCCCTATTGTTTGTGGTAAAGATCAGTTAATATTTAGGGGATGAAATGAACCAAATACTAAATTTTTATCGGTTTTTCTGGCGCTCCAGAGGCCGCAATTATGGCGCGAACATCGCGAAATTTTACATGGAGAAGGGGATCGGGCCAAAGAATAAGCATGTCTGTTTTGTAAAGGATCGGTCAATTTTTAGCGGGTCAAATGGACCCCGACTTTTGTGTGAAAAATTACAAATTTTGTATTCTATTGCCTATATATTTGCCCCTGAAGGACATAGACCCGAGAAGTTGATTGTATATCCAAGAGGAGTGGTTGACCTTTAAATTGATACCAATTATATGGTCGTACGTACTCAGATGTGGGAGTTACACTTAAATATTTACAGGTGCTTACGTACTGAGATATTATTTAGTAACCCATTACCACACTAGAGGGCGGAAATATGGCGCTGGTCGCTCTGAAATTTTCCAGTTGTGGTAAAGGACAACGCCTAGTATTTTCGGCGATGATCAGATAATAATTTTGGGATGTATTGGACCGAAGACCTATTTTTTTGTGTTTTTTTCGAGTTGATCTATAGGTCACAATTATAAGCCGAACATCACAACACAACCCACGGTGAAGGGAATCTGGATAAGTAATTAGAAGGGATGTACTGAATATTATTAATATTCGAAACATATGTCAGTGTAAGGTAGAGGTGCTGTTGACCTCTAATCCGGCAAGAGGGTGCAAATATCACGAAATATTGCCCAGGCTCAAAATAAACATCCGCAGAAAGTTAGAGTTCAGTGGAAGTTGTGTAGGGTATCGTATGGTCGGCCCCGTCCGACTATACTGCTCCGCTCACTGGTTATATTTACATTTATATTGTTCTGATTTGGGAAGGAGTTCCCCTTAATAAATTTGCTCCTGGAACAGTTGCTAAATTTGTATTCAAAATTTGCTTCTCCTTCTCTCTATTTCCAGATTCACATTATACGAACGTAAACATCATTGTCGCAATTGTGGTCAGGTGTTCTGCAATAAATGCAGTCGTTTCGAATCGGAAATATCACGTTTGCGAATATTAAAGCCGGTGCGGGTGTGTCAGTCGTGTTATGCACAATTGCGGGCGACATCTGTTGATAATTAAACACATATATACAATAAAAAAAAAGAAATAATAATTACTAAATTTTAGAGAGAAAAAACATTAAAAATAATGACTATTTAATAAAAGACATTACAATACATTTATGCATAAATACATACATACACACACATACCAACATAACTACATAAGTAATTAATTATTATTAATAGAGACATACATAAATAATAATTATTTGAAACACACACAGAGGAAAAAAAGAGTAAATGTACCTTTTACAACAAAAATAAATAAATAAATAAAAAATATATTATGAGGAAGAAAAATTAATAAATAAATAATAATTATAGTAATTTAAAGAAATAAATAATAATTTAAAGAAATAAAAAAAATATACCAAAAAGTAATAACTAAGAGGAAATTAAGAAACATACAAACAGACATACATTAATATATATTAAAAAATTAAATAATAATAATTATTATTAGTTGTTAAGTATAGAGGAAGAAGAAAGGATAATTAGTGTTACAAAGGAAAAAAGAACATAATGGAAAGAAAAAAAATAACAATAATAATAGTAATATTAAACAAAGAAAGGTGAAAAAGAAATACACATACACATATAAACAGATAAAAATTGTAAAATGTGGATTGAAAAAGGTCCAAATCCACGATCTAAATAATATTTTTATATTGCTATTATTTAAGAGGGTAATTTTCAAAAAAAAAAAAATGTAAGGTGTCTGCTAATGACCCAATGTCCCAGTTGTCGAGCAACTATATTTCCTTCATAATATACTTCTTAATTTTGTCCAAGTATCCTGGTCGAAATAATTCGATTTTTTTTTATTCTTATTGGAAAACAAAATCCCCTGTCTCTTAGACACCCTGTGTAATAATGGCGATATCTCTCTGTATTGCATCCTTCTAAAAATTGCCTATAAATGATACAATATTATAATACTCCGTTCTGATAAGTGGAAGATCTATTACCATTGTTTACTATTTTCCTCCAGGAGAAGTTCACGGAAATGTCATTCACTCTCAATAATACCGGACCACTTAAACCCTTATAGTTCGATGTAAAACAGCCTAAGCGTATTCTATATTTTTGTATATTGGAACCAATTTCTCATATGCAGACGGAGTATTTCCTCATTCAGTTTTGGAATGTGCCGAAGTCTTTTTTTCAGAGCCTTTATTATGAGACAATATACAAATGTGAAAGTGATTCCTCGTAAAATACGGAATTTGTCCTCAATATGATTTTGATATGATCCCAATATCCAAAATTTGTTTTAGGCCGACTTTTTCAATACATATTTTACAAACTAAAAAATATTTATAAAATACTCCTCTCTATCTCTCATTTTTATTTCATCTCATTTCTTTCTTGTCGCTCTTTAACTATATATAATTAATATTGTGTATATTTTAATAAAAAACAAACATCAATAGACTATTTTATTTGTTAAACATTTTTTATATAATTTTTTCTCAATCAAACAGAAAAATCGAAAAGAAAAATGGAAAATAAAGAAATAACTCAAACAATAGATTTTTATAAGTTTTGTATAAAACCAAAAAAAAAAACAAACAAAAATATTTTTTGCTATAAAACGTATATTTTCTAAAAACCATTTAAATTTATATTTTTTTACCAACCATTCAAAAATTTATATTTTTTAATTAAATTATTAATATCCATTAATTAAATTTAATATCCATTTTTTACTTTAGCAACGAATTTTATTTTATTTTTTCTATATATCTCGCTCATTTTATTTTATATACCTAACTCTAGCTCACAACTCTGTATCTCTCATTCTCTAAGATACCTTATATTGGAATTCTTTTATAAAACAAAGGCTGTTTATTATTTATTAAAAAAAAGACAAAAAAATGTATTCTTATCTATATAAACAAAATATGCTTATTAAGATCGTTTTCACACACATATATACAATATAAATATTATTTTTTTATTATTATAGATTTTTATTTGTTATTTAAATTAAAATTATTATTTTCTATTAAATATTGTTCAGTTGTATTTTTTATTGTGTAATCAAATTGTTTTTAGTATAATTTTTTTGTTTTTAATTTTATAAAAAATATATATTTATATATCAATTATTTATTTACAAAAAAATTTTTTTTATTTTTGTATTATTGTGGGTGTTGATTTTCCGATGATTTTCTCTTAATTTGGCAGCAATGGCTAACACTTGTCGACACTTCTCCGCATGCAGTTTCTTGTTCTGTAGGCTGAAGACCTCGAGCATGCGTTCCGTGTCGATGTCGCTGCCCCAACCTTTTGTAGTTGAGGAATGTCTTTTTTCCTCACCAGCTTGAGTTTCATTGTTCCATCTATGGGTCCAATGCTTGCCACTATCTTCCTCAGGACTTCTATGCTATTTGAATTTTCAAATTCCAGCATTAGATAGTCCCCTTTGAAATCGCAGCTATCTAGTTCAATAGAGTCCCCTCCTCGTCGTAGGTACTCCATGATCTTGCTGTTGACCGCATTTAACACTTCCTTAGGGTCTCCTTCTTTAGTTTACCGGACGCGCTATTCCCGCCGATTACTGCATAGCAGAGCTCGTCTCAATAGCGTTTCCTGGCAACCTTGGCATAAGACGGGGGCTCCTTACCATCTGTTGCTGTCGTCTTCCTCTTTCGCAAATACCGCTTGGTCCTTTTGGGATTCCCGGTCTTTGCGGAAGATTCCGACTCCGCACTCGTCTTCCTGATATCAGAGCCACATTCGTCTGCCCTCGTCAGTGGATTCTCGTGGCAGTCTCCTTTGACATTGGTTTGACTTAGCTCTTTTTCTTCTTGGCAGATTTGACAGTCGCCTCCTCATCCGGAGACCTTATCCTCTTCGCCGCTTCCGCAGAAGTGGAGGGATGGTCAGGCTTATCCTTTTGAGCCTCTGTCTGCATCTCGCCATTTTTGTTCATCCCGTTCATTCTGGCCAACTTCCGCCTTTGTGCCCCAGACAACTGCTTCTTCCTGGTTGTGATTTTGGCGATATCCTTACTCACCTCCTCTATTATCTTGTCAGCCTCTTCTCTCTTCGGGCTCCCTCCTGTCTCTGAAGGCTGGCTCGAGATTGCTCTTCCGCTGTGGTTCCTCAACTCCGCAGATCAACGACACCCGCCAATACTGAGTTATTTAGGCTCCGCACCGTAACTTTATTTCCTTTTTCCATTTTTTTTTAGGGGAACACCCCCATAGTTAGTTTTGGTCCGCGGGGCAGAAGTCCTGAAGGTGGGTGATCAAACAATTCCATTACCTACAGTATACACTGGTTGTAATATATTAGTATGGTCAATCACCTCCCCCTATCCGCCACCAGAGAACGCGCCCGGTAAGCGACTAACAATCTAATTCGGGCGTAAGTTTTTAACATATTAGGCGTAAGACTACTATAAGGCGTAGATTCTTAAAAACAATTTCCGAGAATACTATTAGGCGTAGATTTTTAAAATATTTTTTTCGGGGACTACTATTAGGCGTGGATTTTTAAAATATATTTTTTTCGGAGCCTACTAATAGGCGTAGATTTTTTAAATATTTTTTTGGAGTCATCGACACAATCCACCTATTCCTCGACTATAAAGCCGCATTCGACACCCAATCCGCTCAGAGGTGTTTAAAGCCATGTGTGCGTTTGACATTCCTGCAAAATTAATACGGCTATACAGGATAACTTTGAGTGACACAAGGAAAGGTCCTCTCGGAGCCCTTCAATACCGAACGAGGATTGAGTTTCAGGTGACAGTTTGTCGTGTGACCAGTTTAACATCCGGCTGGAAAAGGTCATACGAGATGCAAATGTGAACAGAACTGGCACTCTGTACACCAAACAGAACTCGTTACACACCTACGCCGATGACATCGACATAATGGGTCGAACATTACAGCCACCTTTGAACAAATTGAGAAAGAGTCGGCCAAAGTGGGACTGGCGAAAAGACGAACCTGATGGTATCAATGCTCAAGAAGTTCAGTAGACTCGGACCAACTGTGGAACTTGAAAACTACAGCTTCGAGGTAGTGAACAGCACCGCCACATAAACAAAACTAATAACATCAGCTTGGAAAACCGGAGAGAATAGTGTTGGACAGATACTACAATCTGGTCTGAGTAAGCAACTCAAAGGCAAGGACACCTTTCGCCAGACCAAACTCACACTCTACAAGATACTGATACCAGCCGTGTTGTATTTATATGGATCTGAAGCATGGATACTTGCGCAAGCAGATGAGGCAGCTCTTTGTGTGTTTGAGAGAAAAATTCTCCGGAAGATAGACGATGAATATCGTCATCGAATGAACCATGAGCTGTACAATATATTCTCGGACATCAACATATTCAGACGTATCGAGCTGCAGCGACCACGTTGGCTAGGTCATGTTGTGAGAATGCATGAGGATGCCCCCAGCTCAAAAGGCATATAAAAGCGAACCAGTGGTTGATTCACGAAGAAGGCGAAGGCCCCCTAATGCGATGGAAAAATCAAGTTTGACGACAAAATCTCGAAACATGGTCTTTCAAATTGGATTAACTGCACACAAGATCTACGCGCTTGGAAATCTTTTTCAAGCTCGGCTTATGGAACAAATGTTCTGTCACAAGTCTGCTAAGTATGTTAGGAAGGTGCCAGAAGGGGAAGGTACCATGGGGTACTATTTTCGAACTTGATTTAAGTTTTTAATGAAATATTAAGATGGACAAACAAAATTGAATTAAATCGGTTACGGTACCGTTGAAAGTTGCGTTCAAACTGTGTTTGGCCTAAAAGTATGCTATACAAACCAACAGCGCAGCAATTACGCGAACGAAAGAAAAATTGCCGTTTTTAAAAATGCCATTTTTGTGTGGTTTTTACTGTTCAGGTAATAGGTGCCCAGCATCGAACAGTAAGGTGTGTAATACGGAACATCGTTTCTTTCAAAGGCAAATATCTCAGCGACTACTTAATCGATTTTAATAATTTTTGCACAAATGTTTCGAGGGAAGTCTAAAGTTTTA